CTGGGGGGCCCTGGGTGCCTGGCACCACAGGGGGCTCCGCTCCGGGGCGAGCGGGGATGGGGGACGGGCGCTCCTTTGGGGGTGCACCCGTGGGGAGGGGGGCTGGGGCAGCCAATTGGGGGGGTTGCATTGTCTGGAGGAGACCCCCACGCCTGCTGTGGGCAGGGGGAGGTTTGGTCTGAGGGTACCTGGACACTGGCAATGCAGCCCCTCTGCCTGCCTGGCACGGGAGCCTGGCCTGGGCACCACCACAGTGCTCTGCTGAGGATGCCCCACCTGACACTGGTCAAGGGGGGTTCTTCCTGGTGCCTCAGGATGGGCACATGATGGCACTGATGGGGATGATGGCACTGATGGGGATGATGGCAATGATGGGGACAGTGGCGCTGATGGGGACAATGGCACTGATGGAGACAGTGGCACTGATGGGGATGATGGCACTGATGGGGACAGTGGCACTGAGGAGGATAATGGCACTAACAGGGACAATGACACTGATAGGAACAGTGGCACTGATGAGGATGATGGCACTGATGGGGACAATGACACTGATGGAGATGATGGCACTGATGGGGACAGTGGCACTGATGAGGACAGTGGCACTGACGGGGACAATGACACTGATAGGGACAGTGGCACTGATGAGGATGATGGCACTGATGGGGACAATGACACTGATAGGGACAATGACACTGATAGGAACAGTGGCACTGATGGGGATGATGGCACTGATGGGGACAATGGCATTGCTGGCTGCCACGTGGCCTCAGCAGCAGCTCAGCTCCTGCAACCCTTGACCTCTCCTGGTTCCCACCAAGAGGAGCTCCCTGAGCGGCTCTGCTCGGTGAGCTGGGACAACAGTGGCTCCCTGGCACCTGGCACATCCCTCCTGCAGCTGGGGAGCTGGGGGACATTGCCAGAGACACAGGGGACATTGCTGGAGGGGAAGGGGCATCACCAGAGGCACCAGGGGCATCACCAGAGACACCAGGGGCATCACCAGAGGCACCAGGGGCATTGCCACAGGCACCAGGGGCATCACCAGAGACACCAGGGGCATTGCCAGAGGCACCAGGGGCATCGCCACAGGCACCAGGGGCATCACCAGAGACACCAGGGGCATCACCAGAGACACCAGGGGCATTGCCACAGGCACCAGGGGCATCACCAGAGGCACCAGGGGCATTGCCACAGGCACCAGGGGCATCACCACAGGCACCAGGGGCATTGCCAGAGGCACCAGGGGCATTGCCAGAGAGGACAGGGGGCATTGCCAGTGTCCAGAGCCCCCAGGGCTCGCAGCCCTCTGGAGGGGGCAGGTCTGGGGGCTCTGGGGGCCAGGTGGGGGTCTGGTGCATGTTGATCTATGCACTAACCGGTAGGCTTTGGACAGTTCTTTTCGTCAGAGCCATCCCCACAATCTTTTTCTGAAACACAGAACCACCAGACAGGAGCGTGGGCACGGTGACAAACACAACACAGCACAGTGACAAACAGGGCACACGCACAGCGGGCGGCACAGAGACGCCGGGACGTGGACACGGACACGGACACAGACACACAGAGGCACCGGGCAGCCTGGGAGGCGAGACCAGAGGCAGTGCAGGGGGCTGGGGGAGTGGGGGGCAGCAGGGGTGGGGGTACCCCCGTGGTGCTGCAGCTCCCTAACCCTGCATGAGGGGCTCCACGGCCTGGCTGCCACAGTGGGGGATCCCAGGAGAAGGGACCATCCCTTGGCAGGGCCAGCTCCAAGGGAGCTCGGGAAGACTCCAGGGAGAGCCGTGCACCCCCAGCTCTGCTCAGCCAGGCGCCAGTGCCTCGCCTGCTCTGAAGACACTAATTATTCCTAACAAGGCAGAGCAGCTCAAAGACTGATATAAACTTGTGGGAAAGGAAAGCAACCTTGGGGCAAACCCTCTGTCCCAGGCCTGGCCCTGAAAAGATCCAAGGACAGTCGGGAACTGGCTGGGAGAGCTCTCCTGCCTTCCCTGGGGCTGCAGGACCTGGCTCAGCCCCGCTGGCAGCTCTGGCCATGCTACACTTGGTTCCAGCACCAGGGGACAGTTTTGGAAACCCTGCAAAGGATGCCAAGGTCTGGAAAAATCCCTGCTGGGTTATTCCTGCAGCTCTCCCTGCCCCAGCACAGCCAAGGGAAATACAGGGCTGGGGGCTGCAGGATGGGCTCAGCTCCCCTTGGGGGCTGAGTTCTGCCCTTCAGCACACGCTGAGAACTGGCCCAAACTGCCAAAATGGGGTCCCTGCCAGGCTGCACCCCCTCCTCGGGTCTCGCCATCCCCTCGGGAGCAGCCCGGGGCCGGGTCCTCACCGTTGTCACAGCGCCAGTTGATGTTGATGCAGCGCCCGTTGTTGCAGGTGAACTGTGTCAGGGGGAAGCAGGTCGGGTAGGCTGCGGAGGAGGCAGAGGCACCGTCAGCACCTCGTGTGCACCCCAACCCTCAGAGCCCCGGGGAGCACCCCGCGCTCCCAGTGCTCCCAGTGCTCCCAGTCCCAGCTCACCACACGAGGCAGACTCGTCCGAGCGGTCCCCGCAGTCGTCGTCCAGGTCACACGTCCAGGAGATGGGGATGCAGCGGCCGCTGGCGCAGGAGAACTGGTTGGGGGAGCAGGTCCGGGCTGGCCAGGAGGGACAGATGGAGTGTTAGTGGTACCTTGTTTTGCCAGGGGAAGGTGGGGGACAATCCCCTAGCTCCTGTGAGGTCCAGGTGCAAAGCCAAGGTGCAGGCACACGTGAGACCCCAAAACCTCACGCTGCAGCCAAGGCACACATGAGACTCCAAAACCTCAGGCTGTGGCTCAACATGAGCTCTCCCACAACTCCCTTGAGGACAAGGCAGGGTCCTCACCTGAGCAGGTGGAGTTGGACTCGTCCTCGTTGTTCCCACAGTCATTGTCCCCGTCACAGAGCCAGCGGTTGGGGATGCAGCGGTTGTTCTTGCACTTGAAGCGGTCCGAAGGGCAGGTGTGCTGGTCTGGGGGGGGAAACCACACTCAGGACCTGCCCCTCATCCCACTCCATCCCTCCTCTATGTCCAACAAAGAGAAAAACTGGGACAGAAAAAGGCTGGAGCCTCAAACTCGAGATCAGAATCCCAACATTTTCCTCCTGTACCTCCTCCTCTCCTCAAGTTGGAGAGGGGACAGAGGGGTCCTGGCTACCCAACCCTGCCCCAACCATTGCCCCCACATCTGGAAGAGCCTTAGCCCAAATCCCACGGTGCAGGAGGGGTCACGCACGGCAGAGCTCGGGGGCCTCATCGCTGTTGTCCAGGCAATCGTTGTCCCCATCGCATTTCCAGCGCTCCTGGATGCAGCGGTTGTTCTTGCAGGCGAACTCGCCGGGCTGGCACTGCGGCGGGGGGACGTACGATGGGTTGGCTGCCAAAGGGAAAGCGCAGGAAGGATTTTAACCAGGTGACCAAGCGCAGCTTCCCACGGGGAAAGAGAGGCCCCAGGAGGTTCCCAGGGCAGCCTACCCTGGCAGGTGACAGAGTCCGACCCCAGGATCTGGTCCTCGGCACAGGCGCACTGACGGCCCCGGGGGGTGGCCAGGCACAGGCTGCTGCAGCCCCCGTTGTTGACACGGCATTTGTTGGAGCCCACTGCAGAGCAAAGGGGTGAGGAGATGGCACCTCAGTGGCCAGAGACCCCTCCAGACCCACGGGGGTGCTGCGAACCCCCAGCCCCCTGGACTCCCTCAACAGCAGCCACACTTGGAAGCCAGCTGGAGACCCCAGGTGAGGCCACAGGGACCCCTGAGGGGACACAGAGCCTGATGGAATTCGGGTAGGAAAAAGAGTGAGCGCTGGAAGGGCAGGGCACGAGCAACAGAGAAGAAAACTAAGGAGCACAGGGACAGTAAAAGGAAGCAAAAAGAGGCAGGGGGCTGCTCAGGCAGCTCAGACCCATCCCTGCAAGGCCAGCCCCTCGTGCCCTCGCACCTTGCTGCTGCTGCGCGTCGTACATGCGGATCTCGAAGATGGGCGGGCGCTCGTTGCGGAGCAGGCTCACGGCCTTGGAGGCCTGGTCCAGCCGGTAGATGCTGCCGCTGCGGTACTCGGTCCAGAACAGAAAGTTGCTGTAGTGGCACAGCCCAAAGGCGTGGTTCAGCTCCGGGCCCTCATACACGATCTGCGGGTGCGGGGAGGAGAGGCTCCATTAGCTGGGATGGGAACTTGGGGACAGGGACAGGGACAGGGACACAGGGACAGGGACACAGGGACACAGGGACACAGGGACACAGGGACACAGGGACAGGGACAGGGACAGGGACAGAGTGATGGAAGGGGACAGGAGAGAGGACACAGCTCGGCTGCCCCAGTGCAGTGGGTGATCAGTGTCCCAGGCTCACAGGACCCCCACTCGCCTTCCGCTCGGTGCCATTGAGATAAACCATCTCGATGCGGTCGTAGAAAGCATCCACCCAGTACAGGATCTTGGCTGGGATGTCCAGGCTCAGCCCATTGGGCCACAGGACGGTCTTGGAGGTGATGAAGATGTTGCGGTTGGAGCCATCCATCCAGGCCCTCTCGATCTTGCCCCTCTTGCTGTCCTTGGGATCCTCCTCCCAGTCTGTCCAGTACATCCACCTGCCACGGACACTGAACTGAGCCCTGGCCTGGCCACCACAGCTCGTGACAAAACCCAGCCATGTCCCCGTGGCTGTGGCTCCACCAGCCAGCCCTGCCCACCCAGGCACCCGCACCCGTTCAGGGGATCCACCACGATGGCGCGGGGATGTGTCATCTTCCCCTCGATCAGCGTCTTCCGTGTCTGGGCAGCCTTTTCCAGCCGTGCCACACTGATGGTCTTCTTGGGGCCATCATCCGTCCAGTACAGGTTGTTCCCCATCCAGTCCACGGCGATCCCCTCCACATTGTGGATGCCTTTGGGGGAAAAGTGGAGTGGGTTTGTCACCAGCCAGCAGCAACAGCCCCAGACGGTGCCTGATCCTGACCCAGAGCGATGGGGATGATGGACACCCGGCCCCAGGGGCACAGGCCAGGCCCCCCGGCCACGCACCGTCCTTCAGGATGGTCTCTCGCTCCGTGCCATCGATCTTCTGGCGCCCGATGAGGTAGCTGGTGGTGTCGGCAAAGTAGATGAAGCCGGTCTCAGCGTGGAAGTCCAGGGCCCGGGGGTTCATGAGGTTCTCGATGGGGATCATGTGCTCATCCGGCACCTTGGCGCCCATGTCCATCCCTCGGATGATGCCAGGACGCCCCTTCCCGTACACCAGGAACAGCTCGTGCTCGGGCTCTGTGCAGAGACAGGGACAGCTGTGGCCACCAGCAGGGCTGGGGCAGTGCCATGGGGCAGTGCCATGGGGCAGTGCCATGGGGGCAGTGCCATGGGGGCAGTGCCATGGGGCAGAGCTATGGGGCAGTGCAATGGGGGCAGTACAGTGGGGGCAGTGCCATGGGGCAATGACACAGGGACAGTGCCATGGGGGCAGTGCCATGGGGCAGAGCTATGGGGCAGTGTAATGGGAGCAGTGCCATGGGACAGTGCTATGGGGCAGTGCCATGGGGACAATGACACAGGGACAGTGCCATGGGACAGTGCTATGGGGCAGTGCCATGGGGACAATGACACAGGGACAGTGCCATGAGAATGTAAAAATCCCTATGCAAGGGATTATCAGATTACAATT